GTTTGGTGCTTGGCTGAGTTCTTTATCTCTTCATTTGATGTTTTAGGGTTTCAGGATTGTTGTATTCTCTGTTCGGTTTAGTTTTTCGGATCTTTGCTGTGGAGGGACAGCGTGGTGCTTCTGCCTAGGGCGCCATTTTGCTGAAACTCCTGTTCATCTTAATTTTTAAAATTCAGTTTAGAAAATGGATTTTGTCAAATTTTTGTCAAAAAATTGAGTTTTATAAAATTAAAAAGGAAAACATTTCTCACTTCCCCACCGAAGATGATTTTTCGTATTTCGGTATTCTTTGCTTTGTTATATATTTATAGCCCACCTGGTTCCAAGAAGGATTTGAGGTGACTTTAGTTTATATGTTCCTCCTTCCCCCAGTAGTTTTGGGCATATTCTACTTAAGTTTTTCAGTTATTTTTATAGCAGGCACATTTTATGTAATTATTCTCTTGATGTTGGAATTTGATGATATTTCCAAATTTTTGCTTAGTCCTAATCTTGAAGGCCTATTCCAATTCCAGAGTTCAGTGAACAGGCAGAATTGTCCCAGGAACAGAATGAATTTATATTTAGAAGCATGGAAAGAGCAAATTGCCAAGAAGTCAAGCTGGGCTTTCATCAACTCCTAGTTTATAGCTTCAGACAATGGAAGAATTATTCGGGGTTAGACATAAAAAGCCTGGGTTCTGGATTTGGTTCTGCACTTAACTGCCATGTGATCTGGGCTAAGCCACGAAAATTGTATGGGTCTTAATGCCTTCCTTTGAAAATTGCATGGGCCCTCAGGAAATTGGGCAGTTCTAATGACATTAAGTCTTTTATAAATTATAAAGCAGTTTATGTTTCAAGGTGACAATGATATTTTGCCCCCATTTGTGGAGTACCCACAACATGCTAGGTACCTTGTTGGGCACTAATGTTGTGTTTAATTCCCAATCATTCTCTGAAATAGCTGTTGTTCACCTTTTGCAGATGAAGGAAGTGAGACTTGGAGAGGTTAAATAACTTGTCTGCGATGGTACAGTACGTGGCAAAGCTTAGAATAGAATCCAAGGTAGTGTCTTTTGTGTCACACTATACTTCCAATTATGGTTTAGTTTTCTGTCAATGTCTCCAGATCCTCACTGAGCCTATTTATAGAATCCACCCAGCACAACTTCTTGGATCAGTGAATCCTTTGTTTCTCTTTGTTGTTCTTAAAGCATCTGAATTGGTATCTGATTCCCAGAAGCTTAACTCTTGGTTGTGACCGGCATAATAATAATAATGATAATAATAATAGTGACAAAACAACAGATAGCATTTATTGAGTGCTTATTTTGTGCCAAATGTTAATATATGTTAACTCATGTAATCTCTACAGGTTGTCGTCACTAGTTGCCATTGAATTGATTCTGACTCATGGTGACTCAATGTGTGCATATTAGAACTGTGCTCCATAGGGTTTTCAAGGCTGTGACCTTTCGGAAGCAGATCGCCAGGCCTGTCTTTTGAGGTGCCTTTGAGTGGGTTCAAACCACCAACCTTTCGGCTAGTAGCTGAGCACTTAACTGTTTATGCTACCCAGGGACTCCAGTCTTTACAGGTAGAGGGTGGTATGCCCATGTAACAGATTAAGAAAGTGTGGCTCAGAAACAATTAACTTGTACCTGGCACAGTGCCTCTACACCTAGCACATATTTGGCATACAGAACATTTGGTATATGAACAAATTAATAAATGATCCTCCTGAAGGTCACTCAGCTACTGAATGTTAGAGCTGGAACTCAGCTCCAAAGGCAGAATTGAACCTCAAAGCCTGAGTTCTTAACTTCTGCACTGCATGCCTCCCAGATTAGTTCAGGTGTGTGTCTCTCATTGGCCATGCCTGATTGTCATGTGTGGTTTAGGCAGTTTTAACAATATCTGTTGTTCAAACACTAGTGTATCTCTTATTGCACTTGTTCTTTCCTAGTGGCCTTGTTCCCAATTTACCAGACGACCTGGATGGCATCACCCCCAATGCTGGTTTTGGAAATGGTGGTAAGTACACAAAGCCGGGCATTCTCTTGAGTAAGAGCAAGGGAAGTAGACACTAGACAATGAGTGCCTTGAGACCTGGGACTGAGCTTTCATGTCTGGGGCCAGAGCTTAGCCTAATGCATAGTAGGTTTTATGTCTGTACTACTCATTGCTCTCTACCTCCTTTCATAAAAACTAGGCTAGAGGAATTGATGTCCTTTAGACAATCCTTCATGAGTTTAACTTCTTGCTACCAAGCTTATCGGGATTCAGCCAGTGTTTGCTGAACTGAAGGAGTGTATGGAGGCTGGACATTGAATTTGAGACTAGGTCATGCACGGAAGTTCTGTTGGTCTCCACTGCAGAGTGGCTGGAGGCCCAGGAGATCTTCTCTCTGGACTTTAGTGTGCCAAGGCCTTCCGGCGGGCTGCCGCATTCCATCTGCTGGCTGTGGCCCAGCATTCCTACACGGGCCTGCCCTTTGGAGACAAACAGCTAGTTAGACCACAGGAAATGGCGCTGAGTAAATAAGCAGTGTATTGTGTTTAAGCTGGATTATGAGTAGACGTTCTGCTTGGCAATTTGGGTTTTGCTAAGCATTTGTCATAATTTTTGTTTTTGAAAAAGCGGATGCTATCCTAAATGTCTTGTGGGAAGTGCTAATAATTTGCCTTGTTGAAATATCTTAGAGATATTTTGACTTGTTTTTTTTTTCTCTTCTCCAAAGTGGTAAGATATGTGCAAAAGGAAGAAATTTTTAGAGCAGGCAGGGTTAAGTGTCACAAGGTTTATTTCTTGAGAATAACTTACAGGTGACCTTCAGGTTTTCCTTCATAATCTGTTAACTTTTACTTTAAACACAAAATCCAACAAGCCTAGTTTCTATTTTTCATACTGACAGGCAGTTAAAAAGTTAAGGAGGCGAGCCTACTCCTTAATTTAAACACTAGTGAACATCTGCTTTATGCCAAGTTCTGGGCTAAGCACTGGGGATTTAACCTTGAACATGACAGACTTGGCTCCTGCCCTTACAAAGCTTACAGTCTAGCAAAGAAGACAATTAAGCAAAAATTATTAGGGTGAATGAACTGATCAATGAAATGAGTAAAAAAGGATAAGATGTGAGAGGGAGTAAGAGGGAGATCTTGTTGTTCGGTACTGTCGAGTCAGTTCTGACTCGTAGTGACCCTATATACAAACAGAACAAAACACTGCCCGGTCCTGTGCCATCCTCACAATCATTCTTAATGCTTGAGCCCATTGTTACAGCCACTGTGTTAGTCCATCTCGTTGAGGGTCTTCCTCCTTTTTACTCACCCTCTACTTTACCAAGCATGATGTCCTTCTCTAGGGACTGATTCCTCCTGATAACATGTCCAAAGTACGTGAGAAGTTTTTCTATCCTTGCTTCTAAGGAGCATTCTGGCTGTACTTCAAGAGATTTATTTGTTCTTCTGGCGGTCCATGGTATATTCCGTGTTCTTCACCAACACCATAATTCAAAGGCATCAATTCTTCAGTCTTCCTTATTCATTGTCCAGCTTTCACATGCGTATGATGTGATTGAAAATACCATGGCTTGGGTCAGACACACCTTAGTCCTCAGAGTGACATCTTTGCTTTTTAACACTTTAAAGAGGTCTTTTGCAGCAAATTTGCCCAGTGCAACACATCGTTTGATTTCCTGACTGCTGCTCTCATGGGCGTTGATTGTGGATCCAGGTAAAATGAAATCCTTGACAACTTCAATCTTTTCTCTGTTTATCATGATGTTGCTTATTGGTCTAGTTGTGAGGATTTTTATTTTCTTTATGTTGAGGTGTAATCCATACTGTAAGGCTATGGTCTTTGATCGTCATCAGTAAGTGCTTCAAGTCCTCTTTGTTTTCTGCAAGCAAGGTTGTGTCATCTGCATATTGCAGGTTGTTAATGAGTCTTCCTCCAATCCTGATGCCTTGTTCTTCTTCATGCAGTCCAGCTTCTCGGATTATTTGTTCGGCATGTAGATTCAATAAGTATAGTGAAGGAGTACAACCCTGATGCACATCTTTCTTGACTTTAAACCATGCAGTATCCGCTTGTTCTGTTCGAACGACTGCCTTTTGATCTATGTATAGGTTCTTCATGAGCACAATTAAGTGTTCTGGAATTCCCGTTCTTCGCAGTGTTATCCATATTTGTTATGATCCACACAATCAAATGCCTTTGCATAGTCAATAAAACACAGGTAAACGTTTTTCTTGTATTCTCTGCTTTCAGCCAAGATCCATCTGACATCAGTAGGGATATCCCTCATTCCACATCCTCTTCTGAATCCGGCTTGAACTTTTGGCAGTTCCCTGTCGATGTACTCCTGCAACCGCTTTTGAATGATCTTCAGCAAAATTTTACTTGTGTGTGATAGTAGTGTTATTGTTCGGTAATTTCTGCATTCTGTTGGATCACTTTTCTTTGCAATGGGCACAAATACGGATCTCTTCCAGTCGGTTGGCCAGGAAGCTGTCTGCCAAATTTCTTGACATAGACAAGTGAGCACCTCCAGTGGGGCTGCTGAAGCATCTCAGTTGGTATTCCATCAATTCCTGGAACCCTGTTTTTCGCCAATGACTTCAGTGCACCTTGAACCTCTTCCTTCAGTACCACTGGTTCTTGATCAGGTGCTACTTCCAGAAATGGTTGAATGTCGACCAGTTCTCTTTGGTACAGTGACGCTGTGTATTCCTTCCATCTTCTTTTCATGCTTCCTGCGTCGTTCAATATTTTCCCTGTAGAATCCTTCAGTATTGCAACTCGAGGCTTGAATTTTTTCTTCATTTCTTTCAGCTTGAGAAATGCTGATCTTGTTTTTCCCTTTTAGTTTTCTAACTCTAGGTCTTTACACATTTCATTGTGGTACTTTACTTTGTCTTCATGAGTCATCCTTTGAATTTACTCAATGCATATTAAAGAATGATGTGAAGGAGGTGGGCCGGTAAGAGTTTCCTAAAAAGTGATATTGGAGCTGAGACTTGAAGAATGAGTAGGACGTAGTTAGAGAGATGAGCATCTCAGACGGAAACGACATAGCATGGCCTGTTTGAGGAACAGGAAACAAACCTGTGTGTACATAGCCTGGTGCACAGGGCTCTTCCCAGTCTGTCCCTGTCCAACTCTTGAGCCTTTTTCCCACAGTCACTACTCGTGTGGGTTCAGCTGAATGGTTTCTGAACACCATGCCCACTCACCCTCTGTGCCTTTGCGTGGGCTGTTTCCTCTTCCTTTTGCCTCCCTCACCTGCCTGGTGCTCGCCTCTTGTTTCTTATTTTTAAATTTCATCTATCATGTTGTTGTTGTTGAGAACATACACAGCAAAACATACCAATTCAACTCTTTCTACATGTACAATTCAGTGATTACATTTTTTGAGTTGTGCAGCCATTCTTGGCCTTCTCTTCTGAGTTGTTCCTTCTCTGTTAGTGTAAACTCACTGCCCCCTAAGTTTCCTATCTAATCTTTTGAGTTGCTGTTGTCAATATGATCCCGTGTAGATAGTTGCTAAATGGACATAATGCTCAAGGCAGGCATTCTTTTTTTTTTTTTCTTAATTGTGCTTTAAATGAAAGTTTACAGTTCAAGTCAGTTTCTCATACAAAACTTTATACACACACTGCTGTGTGACCCTAGTTGCATCCCCATACTGTGACAGCACACTCTTCCTTTCCACCCTGGATTTCCCATGTCCAGTCAACCAGCTTCTGTCCCTTTCTAAGGCAGACATTCTTTACTAGTTAAGCTAAGCTATTATTTGGTTTTAAGAAGACTTCAGGGGATATTTTTGGTTCAAGGTTTAAAAATTATGTCAGGGCAGTAGTTTCAGCCCTTAATCCAGCCTCCATGGCTCCAGGAAGTATGGAGTCCATGAGAATTTTAAATTCTGTTCTGCATTTTCCCCCTTTTGATCATGATTCTTCTATGGAATCTTTGATCAAAATGTTCAGTAATGTTAGCTGGGCACCATCCAGCTGGTTTCATGGCAAAGGAGGCAGTTGTTCATGGAGGCAATTAGCCACACATTCCGTATCCTTCTCCCGTTCTAGACTCTCTTTCTTCCTCTGTTGCTCCCGGCAAATAGAGATCAATGGTGCCTTGGATGGCCACTTGGTGTCTCCTGTTTCTTTACAATTCTGCTCAAAGCTCACGACTTTCTTTGGCTCTCCCAAAGGTAACTTTTCTTCACACTCCTTCTGAACCTTACATATTGCATTTCATTTTATTTATTCCTTTTGGTTACTTTCAAAATATCCAGAATCAGACCACTTCTCACCCATGTATACTGCTGTCACCTCTGGTTCAAGCCACCGTCATGTCTGTCCTGGATTATTCTAGTAGTCTACTGACTGGTCTTACTTTGATCCTAAGCCCCGTTAAGTCTGTTTTCAGCATGGCAGCCAGAGATAGGCTGTAGAAACCTAAGTTTAATCTTATCACTCTTTAGCTTGCAATCCTCCAGTGGCTCCTCATAGTCCTTTGAAGAGCCTACATGGCTTTTACACCATCTAGTCCCCAATACCTCTCTGACCTTCTTCCTTCTCTCCCCTTTGATTATGATCTCCATCCCATTGGCCTCATAGCTGTACCTCAGATCCACAAGGCATGCTCCCATCTCAGGCTTCTCCCTTGACCTGGAGTGTTCTTCCTCTAGATGTCTGGCTGTGTCTTTTCTCTCTGTCTTTTTCCACGTCACCTTCTCAGTGAGACCTTCCATAACCACCTCATTTAAAATTGCAGCCGTTACCCTGGTGTTTCCTCACCCTGGTATTGCCTGTGCTTCTCCACTTTATTTATCTCCATAGCATTTGTCACCTTCTAACATACATAATTGGCCTATTATTTTGGTTATCATCTGTCTTCTCCCTTAAGAATGTTGTTCCATTTGTCTTTTTTTAAAAGAAAAAAAAATTTGTAGCCACATCTAAAGTGGTACCTAGAAGAGAGTAGGTACTCAGTGCATATTTGTTGAGAGAATGAAGTCATTGCAGGATCATTGTGTTCTTCACCACTGGGAAACCAGCACCTAGCATAATGCTTGGCACAGAGTAGGTATGTAATGAATATTTGTTGAGTTAAAAGGCTGTGGAAAGATTTGGATATTGGCAAAGCCTTTAATCATTCTAAAGCAGAGCATGGCAAGCCTGTAGGCCAAATCAGGCCTGCTTTCTGCTTTTAAAAATAAAGTTTTATTGGAACACAGCCATTTTTATTTGTGTATGAACTATCTATGGCTGTGTTTGTGCTACCACAGCAGATCTGAGTAGTTGTGACAGGTTTTAGGTTTGTGTATGACCCACAGTGTTTAAGATTCTTATTATCTGGCCTTTTAAGAAAAAATTTGCTGATCCCTGCTCTAAAGTCGGTTAGACATACTTTGTTTTAATTACTAATATGCAAAGATGATATTCTGCCCAGCAAAATAATCTTATGACATGCAGTAAGGAAGTACATATCAGGACCGTTCTGCTGTGTCTCATGCCCAGTGCGTTTTCTGGGTTTGTCTTCTAACAGACATTACACATTGGGGTTAGTTTAAGTAATTTGTAAATATTTGAAATATAGTGGTTTAGAGCTTTCCTTGGACTCAGATTGATAAATCACAATAGACAGAAAAATACAGCATGATACACTGTGGAAGTTGGTTTTTCTTCTCTAGGCTCTATTCCTTAGTAGGAATGTTGGGCAATTTACATACCATGACGTTTTTCTATGTCTTTTTTACCTTTTTATAGTGCTCCCAAATGTGTCAGAAGAAACAGTATCTCCCACCAGAGCACGGAACATGAAGGACTTTGAAAATGTAAGTGGAGATACCAAATTATTGTCCTTAATAAGTCATGTCTGCCGCGTCCTCCAGCCAGACCCAGAAGGGAGCTGTATTTCTTCAGTACTGTCTAAGCTGAATAGTGCCAGAGTTAGGATGAACGCTGCATCTAGTGGGCCTTCTGTATGAGACTCTTCCTTGGCCATGCAGTCAGCCCTTTTATACAACGACCACTCATGGGTTGTGACAGGATCAGCAGTTTCTAATCTTTGGGGAGTTTGGTGTATTTCTGGTGTCGTGAAGGTGAGGTTAACATATTTCTGTCGGTGGAGGGGAGCTAAACATTTGTCAAGGGCCTACTGTATATAAGGCACATTATTTATGGTCCCCATTGAATCCTTGCTACAACTCTTTGAGGTATTTTATATTTACCCGTTTTAGAGATAAGGACTCTTAAGTCTAGGAGAGACTTGTTTAAGGTCATATCATTAGAGCTGGGATTTGAATCCAGGTTTTTAATGACTCCAAAGCCATTTTTCTTCTCCCCGCATTATGCTTTTTGTAAGCTTCATCTTTGTTGCTGTTGAATGAAATGTGAGCACCCTTTACCCAGCGCTGTGTAGTAATTGTCTAAGAATGGATTACTCAGTGATAGATTTGGCTTTGATGCTTAATGCCTTCCAGCATTGTCTTTCATTTGTTAGTGGAGGGGGTTTGTTGTCAAGTAACAGAAAAATAAGGTTATTTTCCCAATTCCAATTTTCCTCAACAAGTTACCTGTTCAGCGCTCTCATTTATCATGGGAAGAATTAGACCCTTCTTCATTTGTAACCAAATGAAATCCATGCTATGCACGACACAGGAGATATTTATCAGACAGAAGATGGAGGACACAGAGAGAAGGACGTTCCACAATTATGTTTCTCTCTCCCCAGTTGTCTTTACAGAACAGAGCGGGACTGTCTCTGGATTTAATTTAGAATACTCATTACTGCTAATAGTTATCTGCAAACCGCCAGTGACCAATTGAAGAAATGACTTGTCAGATCTCTAATGGAAACAAGTAATTTCTGAGGTTTGAGTTGTTATAATTTCACCGGTACAACTCGATCTATGCTGTGGGGTCTGGGGCCTCAAATGAATGAGATTTGATTATCCACATCGTGTATAATTAAAACGTGCTCTACTATTAAATGGTTGTTCCTGTTTTATCATAAGAGTAATAATAGCTTATTGAGCTTTTTCTCTGAGCTGGGTACTTTAAGTGTTATACTCTTTATATACCTTACTTTAATATTAAAGTGACTCTGCAAGGTATAGAGTTATTATTTCATTTTTGAAGGGCACAGTTTTGAATTTTATTTCTAGATGGAAGAATTGAACAGAATCTTAGAATTTTGGTTTCACATTTTCTTGTCTACCTTTTGAGCTGGAAGGAACCTTAGAATTGAATCCAGTTGTGTATAGAAGCTGAGGCCTAGGGATGTAAAGTGACAAAGCTATTCTCAGAGGCAGCCTTTGCTGACTAAGAACCACGGACTCTGGAGCCTTACTGTTTGCTTGTCCACTGCTGGGTGACCTTGGGCCAGTCACTTAACCTCTGTTTACTTTCCTCATCTTTAAAATGGGGATGATAATAGTATCTCCTTCACAGGGCTGTAGTGAGGATCAAATGAGTGGATGTATGTGAAGCACATATGCCTAACCTAATACACAGAGTGTATTCTATGTGTTAGCTATTTCTCCTCCTGCTTATTGTTTTATTTATTATTATTTTCAACTCCGCCATGTGATTCATGTTCCCTTTGCTCAGACGTGTTCTGGATGACCTAAATATTTCAACTGCCTTGAGGGCGAGGGAGAGTTTTCCATGCCAGTATCTTTTAGGATTTATGTTTTTTCTTTATGACTGTGGTCCTTTGGCTACTGTTAGGTTTTTATGGCATTAATGTTTTTTATTGTAGCATTTTCAAGAGCAAATTCAGCAGTTGAAATTGAAATAGCCACACTGTTCTCAGTGTCTCCCTTTCAGGTCTTTACAGGTCACTGAGATTTTTCATTTGACCTGAGCTACTAAATGCATGATTTCTATGTGGAGGTAGTCTGATCTTTCTGTGGAATGCTTATAGGAAATGGCTCTTGGCATCTAATGCTAACTTTAGAGTCAGCATGCATATTAAAGAGGGGGCTAGAATGCTTGTGTTTTTTTTTTTTTAATTGTACTTTAGATGAACATTTATAGAACAAAATGCTTGTGATTTAAAGGAGAAACTCATGATTCTTCTTATTCCAGTCTCAGATAACTGATACCTGTACATTAGGAGTTGTATTTAGCTAGGGTTTAGCAAAACATAGGCTCCCATCTGACTTTGCTCAGAGAGTTTATCCATTCATCAATAAACATTTTCAAATATATGCCCTGTGCCAGGCTGTCTGCCAGGGGTTAGGGGTACTACAATGGATTAAGACCAGGCAAGTCTCCCTGCCAAGAGGCTTATATTCTAGTTGGGAAGATGGATAGGAAAATAATGCAGTGATGGAGGTAAGTATAGGACACTGGGGGAGCACAGGAGGGGATCTGAACTGACCTGGGGGGGTTCAGAGAAGGCTCGTTATATAGTAGCTCCCATTTCTGCCTCCCCTGACCCCCGATAATCACTAGTCTAGTTTGTCTCTATACCTTTGCCTATTCTAGATATTTCATGTAAGTGTTGTTGTTGTTAGGTGCTGTCGAGTTGGTTCAGACTCACAGCGACCCTATGTACAACAGAACGTAACACTGCCCAGTCCTGTGCCATGCCCACAATCATTGCTATACTTGAGTCCATTGTTGCAGCCACCGCATCAGTCCATCTCATTGAGGGTCTTCCTCTTTTTCACTAACTCTGTACGTTACCAAGCATGATGTCCTTCTCCAGGGACTGATCCCTCCTGACAACATGTCCAAAATACGTAAGATGTAGTCTCGCCATCCTTGCTTCTAAGGAGCATTCTGGTTGTACTTCTTCCAAGACAGATTTGTTCATTATTTCGACAGTCCATGGTATATTCAATATTCTTTGCCAGCACCACAATTCAAAGTCGTCAGTTCTTCTTTGGTCTTCCTTATTCATTGTCCAGCTTTCGCATGCATATGATGCGATTGAAAATACCATGGCTTGGGTGAGGTGCACCTTAGTCTTCAAGGTGACATCTTTGCTCTTCAACACTTTAAAAGAGGTCTTTTGCAGCAGATTCGCCCAATGCAACACATCGTTTGATTTCCTGACTGCTGCTCTCATGGGCGTTGATTGTGGATCCAAGCAAAATGAAATCCTTGACAACTTCAGTCTTTTCTCTGTTTATCATGCTGTTGCTTATTGGTCTAGTTGTGAGGATTTTTGTTTTCTTTATGTTGAGGTGTAATCCATACTGAAGGCTGTGGTCTTTGATCTTCATCAATAAGTGCTTCAAGTCCTCTTCACTTGCAGCAAGCAAGGTTGTGTCACCTGCATAATGCAGGTTGTTAATGAGTCTTCTTGTTCTTCTTCATATAGTCCAGCTTCTCGGATTATTTGCTTGGCATACAGATTGAATAGGTATGGTGAAAGGATACAACCCTGACACATATCTTTCCTGACTTTAAACCACGTAGTATCCCCTTGTTCTGTTCGAATGACTGCCTGTTGATCTATGTACAGGTTCCTCATGATCACAATTAAGTGTTCTGAAGTTCCCATTCTTTGCAATGTTATGCATAATTTGTTATGATGCACACAATCGAATGCCTTTGCATAGTCAATAAAACACAAGTAAATATCTTTCTTGTATTCTGTGCTTTCAGCCAGGATCCATCTGACATCAGCAATGATATCCCTGGTTCCACATCCTCTTCTGAATCCAGCCTGAATTTCTGGCAGTTCCCTGTTGATGTACTGCTGCAGCTGCTTTTGAATAATATTCAGCAAAATTTTAGTTGGCATGTAAACAATGATAATGTTCGATAATTTCTGCATTCATTTGGATCACCTTTCTTGAGAATAGGCATAAATATGAATCTCTTACAGTCAGTTGGCCAGGTAGCTATCTTCCAAATTTCTTGGCATAGACGAGTGAGCGCTTCCAGAGCTCCATCTGTTTGTTGAAACATCTCAGTTGATATTCTGTCAATTACTGGAGCCTTGTTTTTCACAAATGCCTTCAGTGCAGCTTGGACTTCTTCCTTCAGTACCATCAGTTCCTATTCATATGCTTCCTCTTGAAATGGTTGAAGGTCGACCAGTTCTTTTTGGTATAATGACTGTGTGTTTTCCTTCCATCATCTTTTGATGCTTCCTGTGTCGTTTAATATTTTCCCCATAGAATCCTTCACTGTTGCAGCTTGAAGCTTGAATTTTTTCTTCAGTTCTTTCAGCCTGAGAAATGCCAAGCGTCTTCTTCCCTTTTGGTTTCTATCTCCAGCTCCTTGTACATGTCATTATAATACTTTACTTTGTTTTCTCGAGCCGCCCTTTGAAATCTTTTGTTCAGTTCTTTTACTTCATCATTCCTTCCTTTTGCTTTAGCTACTTGATGTTCAAGAGCAAGTTTCAGAGTCTCTTCTGACATCCGTTCTGATCTTTTCTTTCTTTCTTTCCTGTCTTTTTAAGGACCTCTTGCTTGCTTCATGTGTGATGTCCTCGATGTCATTCTACAGCTCGTCTGGTCTTCGGTCATTAGTGTTCAACGTGTCAAATCTGTTCTCGAGATGGTCTCTAAATTCAGGTGGGATGTACTCAAGGTAGTACTTTGGCTCTCGTGAACTTGTTCTACTTTTTTTCAGTTTCAATATATGCGCATATGAGCAATTGATGGTCTGTTCTGCAGTCGGCCCCTGGCCTTGGTCTGATGATGATACTGAGCTCTTCCATTGTCTCTTTCCACAGATGTAGTCGATTTGATTCCTGTGTATTCCATATGGCAAGGTGGGATATAAGTGGGATCATACAATATTTGTTCTTTTGTATCTGACTTATTTCACTTAGTATAATGTTTTGAAGATTCGTCCATGTTGTAGCACGTATCAGAACTTCATTTCTCTTTATGGCTGAATAATATTCCATTGTATGCATGTACCACATTTTGTTTATCCATTCATCTGTTGTTGGACTGGATGAGTTTAGAGGAAGCCATGTATCAAAGGTTTTAAGTATAATTTATACGCAACAAACAATAGATACCGTACTGTAGGCTCAGGAGCAGATTATCCAATAAACAGGGTAAACATGGGCTTACTTACAATCTGTAGTGAGCAATTTCATACGCGTTTCACCACACCACATCAAAGTGAAACCTATGTGAAATTGTTCACTACAGATTAGTAAGTAAGCACAAGTAAGCCTGTGCTTACCTTGCCTATTGGATAATCTGCTGCTAATAGGCTTTATAATTTTTAGTGGCTTCCTCTGTAAGGACCTGAGAAAACTGTTAAGTCAGGTTTGACTAAAACAACTGTCTGCATCTTGTACCTACCTGGGTCTCTCTTCACCCTTTTTCTATGCTGTTCTTGTCTCATACCCGCCTTCCTGGGATGCTGGTGTTCTTGTATTAAGGTCCTTATTCCTGTTTGCTGAAAATCCTTGGTCTCGACTTAGGCAGTTGGTCAGATTTGAGTGGTATGGTTAGAAGATTTGCATGTTCAGATTTGCTGTGTATCATCTATATTGTTGTGAATTTCTCATTACCATAGAATAGCTTCTGACACGCCTGCCCATTTGCATGGCCCTGCAGCTTTCAGAAGCACCCTTGTATGTGGATATGACATGGGCTTAGGAGTGATCAGAATTGGGTTTTAGGTCTGGCTCTACACTTACTGGTCTGTGCCCTTGGTTAGGTCACTTTCAGAACCTCATCTGTAAAGCGGAGCTAATGCTGTGTTCCACTCAGGGTTGTTACGAGGATTATGTGAGCTATGGTATGGAAAGCCCCTAGCATTCCTAGCACATAGTGAGTTCTCAACAAAAGCTGGTGTCTCCTCTAATCTGAAGAGTCTGTCTAGTGTAGTCAGATGCCTCTGGGTTCTGCCCCATCAGTTTCAGTTTCTACTGACCTTTCTAT